TTAACCTCTTATGACAGTGCTGATAAAATGCTGACAGGCAGGTGGGGCCAACAGGCAAAACACACAAGGAGAGGATGAGGAAAGTTTGGCCGGATGTTCGTTATGGCACGGATCACGTTACAAGATTTTGCCAAGGAGAGGCACTGTTTGAGCAAGCGTGGGCAGTCAAACGAGCTAGTTCCAGGCTCCTACTCCTCCGCTACAGTCCAAGTTCCCTCTATCAGCACTGCAAGATAAAGCATGTAATTTCATGTCACAACACTGTTCATACTTGACCATCCTAACGAAGAAAAAAAATAAAGATAAAACAGACTTGTCAGAAAATAATGGCTGCATTGGGTCAGAACAACCAACCTCAGGGTGTCTCTCACCCACTTACATTAACATAAAGGGCAACGTCCACCCAGAGTCGGGAAGAAATCCTGTCACAGCTCCTGATGCGCTGGCCATGAGTCACCACTGGATTATTTCTGCTTCTGGTGTTATTAAGCAAACTCTGCTCCCTGAGACAGTTTGAGATATTACTCTTGGTTTGAACCAACTGTCTCTCTGCGATCACTTTTACAAAATCAAGCACTGATCAGGCGACGAAATTCAATTAAAGAGCAGAAGCAGGACAAAAGGATCGGACTGTAATTCAATCAAAACAATGGCACAACACCAGACCTATGAGGAAGATGTAGCCTGAGGATCCTTGAGAAAAAAAGAAGTCCTTAATATCCTTCCCGGATAACGTAGAATGAATTATAAGGAAACTGCTCCACCAAGACGTCCCCTTTGGGAGGAAATCAGTGTAATGTACTGAAGGGGATGTGCATTAAGTTAATTAGCCCATGTCTTGTTTGAGTTTATTTTTTTACTTTATGTTCTCTTTGGATTTTGTTAACAGGATGTTCATCGATTCTCCTGGAGCATGGCTATTGCCTGAGACAAAAATACAAAAAGAAAAATCCTCTGCAAGTAAAATTATAGGAAGAAGCAACAATATATTGCAACATTATACAAGTATCAGCAATGTTTTGCAACACAGCGTCAACATTTTGCAATATTATGAATGCAGCAGCAACATTTAACATTTTGGATGTAGCATCAACATTTTACAGCACTCAGGATCTCTCGCATACTCTTTGCAACAATCTGGATACAGTGTTGACGTTTTGCAATATTCTGGATATAGCATCAGCATTTTCCAATATCCTGGAAATAGTTCAAGATGAATGGATATAGATAAAAAGCCAAAGAGACCGCCTTCTGTTGCAGCGATTGAGGATTTTTGAACTTATCCAGCAAAGGCAATATTAAATGTCATCTCACCAAACGGTGTGAAAACTTCTCAACCAACGCATTTTACTGCACGTAGGTTTCTAAGGATGATCCAAATGGGCAGACAGTTATTGATCAGAGGCTGATTGTCTTGCTTGCCCTCCTTTCCCCCCTCTCGCTTCCTCTCTCTCATCCCTACTGCTTATGACACTCACCCCAAACCTGCTATTATAACTGAAAACCCCAAGGGCCAGAAATAAATCAAGCCCTCTGCGCAGGAGCATTAGCAACAGCAGAAGCTAAACAGCAGCCAGGTCCGAATGGCAGGAAAATCAATCGCAGGTAGTGCTGCACACCATCCTGCAGTGATTTAATCACAATCCAGTGGTCCGAACAGGGAAAAAAAACTGTCATACACCCTGTGTACAAACTGTGATTTTGCTGGATGCCCAAGAATAGGCTGTGATCAAACTCCAACTGCCAAAAAAAGGGCCCCAGAGCGATTGAGCGAGGCATAAATCCAATATAGCTCGGCCTCAGGCAGCCTCAGGTAATGGCTGCCTGAGACCTCCAGCTGATCTGAAGAGAAAAACAGGACAAGTGGCCTATTATGACAGTGTGGGGATGCTGAAAGAAGCCTTATATTGACGTCACCGTCTGAATGTCGGTTCTTTTATGGCTCTTCAACCTTGTCGTCTATCACAAAGTACAGTACAATGAGGCACTCCACTCGAAGCAAATGGAGCTCATATTCTCCAGCCTGAACAGGAATGTATCACAAGTGAAACAAAGGTATCTGATGATGTACTGAAAGAAGCGGTAGGGGGAGGGGTGTACGGAATTTCATTTAATACCATCTTTAAAGAGATAAAGGCATAAGATGGATGTGTGCTTTCGAAAGATAAGCTCAGGCAACAACTGCCACTTTGCTCAAGTTTCCTTTTATATTTTCCTGCCTTTTTTTTTCTTTCATCAGTTTAATAAACAGCTCTGATATCATCAATGGTGAGACCAAATAAAGGCAACACCATAATGAGACACAAACCGCCTTTTTTATGTGCAAAATCCAGGGAAAGACAGCGGTAAACAACTTCTAGTGCTAGTTTACATAAGATAGAAATATTCCCTTGAACAGACTTCAAACCAGAATTGGTCTTATCATCTCCTTCCTGTCTGAATAATTTTCTCTTAAACCTTAGAAGTCATTGTTACCGTAATTTCATATTGATTATTTCTTATTTGTAATTCACTCCAAAGGCTAAGAAATTGTGTCTAAAGTGCGATTTCTAAAATTTTAATCAATACCACATTTGCATTCACAAGTAGAAACGATAATTTATCATGATTTCATGAAATTTTTGGCACTTTTTCATCACTGACCACAAAACAGATGGAAAAATCTTAGAAAGCAGACTCGAATTTGCCAGTACAGACTGTAAACTGCATGTCAATGCAAGTATGTAACCAACTTTGCAATTAATCATGTAACTTTAATGACTAGGGCTGTTATTACATACCATAAAATGTTAATAATGTATTAGCATCAATTACCGCCACAATTTTTTTTACATTTTCTATGCATTTTCCAAGTGTGACCCTTTAAACCATTCATATCAGTGCAGACTAAAGCCCAGCTGCACTGTATGTGCTGTATGTTCCTAGAGTAGAATCTAGGATTGTAGCCCTCTTATTCAAATACAGCTTTTAAAATGCTTTTGAAGCGATACTTTCAGCACCATCCGCAGGCTGCGCTGGTCAGTGCTTGCTGGATAAATCAGTGAGCAACAAACTAACAAAAACAACTGTGAAGTGAAGCTCCTGTTCCCCTCGAGAGCTTCCACTGTAACAAGAATCCACGAGCTGTATGAACAAGAACAATAGGCTACAATCACAGAGGAGTTGAAATCACTGACTGTGTATATGATCTACATGATATACATTGGTTGCTCTCATAGGACGGGAGTGATGAAAACTGGAAGCTGTGTTCACTCTGTGGAGATCATAGAATTTATATTTTTGGGATCATATGAAATTCATATTATTAAATACATTGCACACATTCTGTGAAGCTTATTTTGTTCGCTTGTTCAGCTGTAACAAATTTCTCTTCTTTTTAAATGGAACAAAATCTATGTTTAGGCTCAAATTTGAGCAAATAAGACAAACACAATTAACTGCAATTCATTATTCTAATCTACTGACAACCCTACCCTAGTAATTACATTTCGATAAAACAATAGTAATAACTCTACACTTCTATGGGTTAAACCTCCTGAGTCCAGAAGCTGCTCAGCAAACAACTGCTTCCACCTGGGTGTAAACTGCAATATTACCACAAGCTCTAAGGTAAACTGAAGGAAGATGGGCACGCAGGCAGCACTGCCAACTGCCTCCCCCAGAGACTCGAGCATGGAGATGCATTCTGCTGCTGCTCAAACCAACCCACCAAAGCAAAAGCCCACCAGACTCAGTGATGTGCCATGCTGCAGATAAAATACAGTGACTAAACCCAGTCCAATTATCACACAGCAAAATCCACGTTTATCATTCTACAATGAACACCCTAAACGCCGCTGGAGAACGAGAGACCCTCCAATCTCCATTTCTGACCTCTTTTTTAAATTAAAAGCAGGGAATATCCTCTATTGCCCTGTAGACCATCTGAGGCTTTTTTTAGCGCTGGGAGTGAAAAAATAAACCTAAACAGGTCGTCATGATTATTAAACCACAGTGGAAAGCCCCAAATGTTGTTGTTGTAGGGGAGGCTTTTGTGTGACAGCTCCAATTAATTAGCTCTGCCCACTGGACTTTACAATAGTGAAAATGCTGTACCAAAAGCGTTGGTCCAACAGGAATGAATATGACCAGTTTCTAGGGACCTAAATTGGGCTAGTTTCTTTGATAAAATCTACACCAGAGTTTGGGTTTTTATAACATTGTATCTTGGTTGGGTTGGTTTCACACTGCAGTGGTTGAAGTACACCAAATTCTACACGTAGATGTTCCTTGTTCTTTATGTTCTTTGATATGTCAGAAATTAAGTATGGATACAAGTGCTGTTACTTTTACATTTGCCTCCATTAAACAACCTGTTTTTAATTAGCCTATCACAGTATAAAATCCACATCTATCTCTCACTTAAAGTCATATACAAACATTTGAACACCGCTTGTTAAATTAAATGTTTCGTTGGACAAACTTAAATATGGCATTTTTCTGCAAATTTTAGTGTATAATTTCTGTTCATTTAGTTTAACATATTGGAAAAAAAACAGAATATATGCAATCACTTTTACACCAGCCAAATTTTAAGTTTTATTTTTTTTCCAATATAACAAATTCAGCAATAAACAGTAATTTTGCATTTAATTGTGCAGAAGTGTGATCTTGGAAGGGGATGTCATAACTTATTTTCACTTACAAAAGCAAAAAACCAGGAGCGCCCAAACTTTTGCATATGACTGCATATTTCTGGTAAAACGTATTATCACAGTCATTTTGTTGCACAAAAGCACTGCAGTACTTGATAAAAAAGCGGCGAACCAATTCAGACTTTGCATAGAAGTGGACCCACGATTTTTGCCAGACCACAGTTCAGTAGACCTGAATACGAATGGAGCGTTCACATCCGTCAGAACGGACCAAACTAAAGAAGTTTGATTGGTCCTCACCAAACAAGGTAGGTGTGCAAGCGGCCTTAGTTGAACACAATTAAAGTTTCAGCACATTCTTCTTACCTTTCATTCCAAATTTGTTGCGCCTGCCATACTTGTTAATTAGCACAAACATGACGATGAGGAACACACAGCCAAATCCGGCCAATCCCACAGCTATGGACATCTACAGGAACAAAGAGAATGAAGCAGTTATTAAAAAGAGGAGGCATTAGCAAGGTGCAAAGGTGTGAAAGCATAGGAAGGGTGATGACAGCACTTCAGAACACTGGACTGTAAGTGAATGTAACACATGTGGGGGGCAGTTTTGCAGGCCAAGAAGTCTAAATCTAGACTACAAAGGATTTTCATTGGTGAATCATCACTGGCACTGCAATTAGGCCCATGACTAGATATACTCCACATGCAGGAAATGGCTGTCTTACCCCAAAAGAGTCCTCCTCCGGTCTGTTTGCATCATTGCCAGGTGTAGGGTCTGTTGGAAAGAAGAGAAAGTTTTTTATTTGGAATTTCTCTCTTTTCAAACCTGGCATTGAGCATCAAGGAAACTGTATACACAGTGTTTGTATGCACTTTCAGTGAACTCACTGGTGGCTGCTGGAATGAATAAAATGACCTGGTTTGGTACAAAGTACCAAACGTACAACACAATCAGCAGCAGGAACCCAGCCTCGTTCTTGGCTCAAGAGAAATACAGTGTGTAGTCTGACGACTTGGCACTTGAGATCAAAGAGTAATTTCCAGCCAATTAATTGACCCACAATGGAATAGCCACTATGGGCTAAAGTGGTATCACTGCAGCCATCAGCAGAAGCACAGACCACCCTCCTCTGGGCTCAATAACAATTAGACTTAGATCTTCCACTTCTCCTCAGATTCTCTCTGCACTCCACCAGGGAGACGACAGTTGTGGTCTAAGCCTGCCTCCATGGTCACATTCTGACTGAACTATCCATTCCATTTCACTCTCCACTCTCATTATATTGTGTGCTGGACTAATGGCAGGATGTTCTTAAGAAATGCTTTATTCTGGCTTTACTTGTGAGCTTAATGTCTATGGACACATGGGGAGTTTTAAGGCATATCACTGTCCTCTGTGTAAGTAGACTGAAAATGGAGCTGCTCTTATTCCACTCTTGGTTCACAAAGATAATGATCACCACTTCTCACTGGTTTAGCTCACTTGCAACTTTTCTCACAACACATGACAGCATTTGTCATATTCTAAAAAACCTTGGCATAAGGCCAAACTAGACTAAAAAAATACCTTGATTTAAAATCCAAAAGGCAGCTACAGTAACACACTGTATTTGATTTCATTCAGTGTCTTTATCATTTACAGCACTGTGCAAAAGTCAAAGTCCCTTCATTTATTTAATTTCCTTTTAGTACAAATTATTTATTTATCAGTGCCAGGGAATAAGCTGAAAACATATATCTAACAGTATTTTTTGTTTTTCAGCTTTTTTCAGTTTTTGTGTGCCTTTGCCTTTACTACATCTTCCTTTATTTTCAGGTTTTAAAAGAAATCTGCAGGGATATTTTTCCACAGCTCCGACGTTCAGTCTTAGAAGTTGGTTGCATTTTCTGCTTCTCACAATCCAAGTAGTCCTAAATACATTGAATAATGATGAGGTCTGGACACAGGGTTGGTCAATCCACTGTCCTTCTTTGTTTGATTGTGTCTGTTTTGTTGAGGGCTTCTTGACAGCTACATGTCCTTTCAGACCCATAGCGCTGAGTTGTCTTCTCACAGTGGAAGGATGGACAGAAACACCTGTGGATGTTTTCAGATCTGAAGCAGCCTGATTTTCTCTGCTCTCTCAAAGATGAAAGCTGTAAATGCTGTTTATCTGATGGGGCGATTTTAGTGGTCTACCAGGTCTTGAACAGTTGTTAGGAGTCCCATTTTTTGTATTTTTTTAATCATTTGTTCAACTTTTGGACTACTCCTTCCTTAAGCAAGTGGATTATGTTAAAGCTACTCTCTTCAGAATTATCTCCTAAAAATGGTGAATTTGTACTTGATGGACAGAAATAAATTAAGGGTGGTCTCTGATTTTTGCACAGTACTGTATTTTTCACTTCAGGTTTCAAAAATAATTTTCACTTATGTGAAGGGTTTAATATGGTCATAGTATGTCAGTGCATATTTTCCACTTCAGCTCTTATGAGTGTGAAAATGTGCAGTACATTTATCTCAGCTTAGTGTCAAAGAAACACTCACCGTACTCCAGAATTCCTTTTATGGCAGAAAAAGAGGGAACAAACAGCTTGTTAGGTAAAAGATTATTTCTGTTAGGACAACTAAAAATGAACTTTTTTAAGTAAACATGTCTTGCAATATAAACATACAATTTATTGCAATAAATTCTGTTCATATTTTGGAAAATACTGACAACATAAAGCAATATGTTTAATTTTCACATGGCTCTGAACAACTAGTCACTGAAACTGGCAACCATATGCAAAATATATATCCAAAATAAAAGCTCTTACCCTCCTCATCCAGAAATGGTGGTGCCTCCAGGAAATGTCCAAAGACAGTTTTGGAGACCGAGCCAAGGGGGTTAGTGGCCACCAGTGTGTAGTTTCCGTTATCATAGTGTGTAGGATTCTCGAAGGTCAGGCAGCCCTCCAGGTAGTCCTGGTAGATGTCCATTTCAGTGCGGATGTACGGGCTCTGGATTTCCTGGCCTTTGTAGAGCCAGCGCAGTGTGGGGTGTGGAAAGCCCCGCACAGTGAACTCGATGCAGGTGTGGTGTCTACGCTCAGGCTCCTCCAACTTCAAGATCACTGGAGGAACTGGCAGAAGACAAGATAAGAGGGGATGGTCAAGCCACTGCCCTGTTTCAGTAAAGTAGGGATTTTTAGGGATGTAACAATACAATGTATCGTATTGTATCATCTTGTATCGTGACTAGCATGTTAGCTTGTGGCTAGTATGCTAGATTGGGGACTGCACATTAGCCTGAGGCTAATGCAACATTTTCAGCCACTTCCTATTTTTGCTGTTTTTATGGAATATGGTCACCCCTGGTCAAATTACATGTTTTGTTGATGTTCTAAGTGAATATATATATATACATATATATATATATATATATATATATATATATATATATATATATATATATTTTTTTTTTTTTAAATCAATCAATTATTTATTAATTTAAACACAATTTATTGAAAAATTACTGTTTATAGCATTTGCAGAAAATGTCATGTTTCATTTTTTAACAAAAACTTAGATAAACATATATAATATAGCTTATGGCTGTGCAAGACTAGCATATTAGAATCATACATTTCTCTGCTAGCAGATTTGTTGTATATTGTTATAAACTTTGATTCCAAAGTTTTGAAACTTAGTGCAAGTCAGTGGTTGTTATTCCAGCTTCAGGAGTGCCTACAAATCCAGGTTCAGGACTTGAATACACTGATGTGATAAGAATAAGTACATTCACAACAAAGTCTATATGTAGTCAGTTTAGTCATTAATTTTTATATATGTAAAAATACATGAAGAGATATGTCTAAATAAATAATATAGTCTAGCAAACTTGCCATACCACTTAAGCACCCTAAAAATCTGTGGTTGAAGCAAAAGCTGTCAAAAAAATACAGAAAATGCAAAGGGGACAGTTTGACCTCATAAGTGCATGTGGATATCTTAATCTGCAGTAAAATCCCTGCAAGTCAGATCTTAATACCAGCATTAACATCATAGCCTTTTAGTAGCATATGGCCTGAGCAAAAATGGTCAGAGTGTGTTCCTGTTCTACTCTTTTTATTTGGCCATATACGCTTGTGGTTTTCGTTTTGTTTTTTTTACAGCCCCTACATACTTATATATACATTCCCTCTGTGTGCAGTCTGCGGTGCTTCTTTTTAGTGATATTGCATTATTGAGTTTGCTGGTATGGACCCTTATCTGCTTTACTGTGTCTTAGTCTACTGTCCCACAGTCCTGTTCTTGCTGATAGCAGCCTAGTCCTGCCTGACGCTGTCTCTGCTTCATCTTGTCAAATAATTCATTGCAATTCTTGCTGCATGACTTTTCACATATTTCTTTACATCACCGTTCAAAAATTCAGAATCAATGATTTCAACAAGGTCACACCATTATGGTATCTAATTAATGTATAAGATAATTCTAATACACTAGTCATGTGCAAGTTAATATAATTAAAAATAACGGAAGCTTGAGCAATTTTAGATGAACAGAGCTGGGGATGTATTTTAAAAGTTAAAATAACTACAGTATATTATTTATCCTCAATAACTTCTTTTTGTTGCCAGAATACTTATAAATATTAAATAAACATTTAAGTTTGTCTTTTATTGTGTATTTAAAACTGCAAAAGACATAGGCAACATGTTATCAAATTACATGTATATAGTTTATTTCAAGTCAAAATGGCTATTAACATTCATTTTTCACATATTTCTGAGATTAGATGTAAAATAATACACTTACATAAGGAAGGGAAAGTCAAAAGAAAGTAAGTGAGAAAAACAGGAGTTTTTCAAAAGGAGTTCAAATAATGATTAAAAGATAAATTAAATGGAATTACTGTTAGAAACCATTACTGAGAAAAGGTTGCTGCTGGTGTCCTTATAACAAAGGACTGTCCACCCCACAGTCCAGACCTCAGCATCACAGAATGTATTTGGGATTACTTGAATCATGAAAAGCAGAAAATACGACCATTTACGAAAGAATGAACTTTCAAGGTGTGGAAAAATATCCCTGTAGATTTCTTTGAAAACCTTAAAGTCTCCTGTAAAGAATGGAAGCTGTAATAAAAGTAAAGTGTGGACACACTAAATACTGAAAAACTAATATTTTATTTAGCTCAAGGTTTCTGTGTAATTTTCTGTTGAATACAGTATGTTTTCTGCCTTTTCCTGATGCTGAAAAATGAATAACTTGTACTTAATGGCTGTTTTAAATAAATTGTGGTCTCTGACTTTTGCACAACACTGTAAAATAACAAAAAATCATTGCAAACTTTCGAATGGTAGTGTGTATCTCCTCTTTTATTACATCTGTTGAGGCAAAACTGTGACTTCACTGCTCTCCTTCTTGAAATATTAGAAGGCATGTGAATGCTTCAAGATGACAAGCTCATTTTTAATCTGGGTTGGTACAGAAGTAATATTCATTTCAAATTAATTTTTCATAACCTAATCAAATTTTAGGTGCAGGAGATTTTCTATGCAAAAAAGAAATGTTAAAATAGGTCCTTCATACAGAGACGTATTGATAATTAGTTTATGAACTGAACCAAGTGCATCAGTTCTGGACTGGAATAGGACAGTCAAGGCAAGTCCCGAAGGACAAACAGATTACAGACATGACTAGATATTAAAAAAGACTTCACTGTCCAGAGAGAGTGATAAAACCACCTTTTATTAAAACTTCAAAGAAAAGCCTTTTACACTGAATATGCACCACTGAACATTCCCAAATTAGGTCTCCAATGAAAAGCGGTTGTTAAATGTAAGAATAAAAGCAAATCTTGCAATCTTGCTGTCACAGACTCTACGTTATTGCCCATTTTTCAAATTAAGGCGGTCTGTGAGCTCCCTGCATGAGAGTGCGCATTTGTTTGTCATCCAAATGAGAGTGCGTCAGAACTGTCAGCCGCCCTCTCTCCCTCGAGTGATTTGTGCTCTGCTTTGACTGATGAGTGCTGATGATAGATGCGTCCCTCCCATCGTGCCGGGGTTGCACAAGCCCCCCCTGACTGAGCAGATGACGTGTATTTAGGAATCAGCATGCTATAGCACTCTTCTCTCGCCCCGCGCGCCCTCATGACTATACGAGGCCTGTTATTTACAGAGCGCTGCTGTGGCTTCCAAAACAGAGAGACAGAGAGAGAGAGATCTGCTCTCACTGCCTCTTGAAATTTGACAGATTTCTATATCAAATGTCTTCTCCAGAAAGAAAATCTCTCAGTTTCAAGCAGAAATGGCACCATTCTGATACTAAGTATTGGTATCGGGCCGATATCAGCAGTAAGTGCTATTTCAGATATCAGAGAGAAAATCCAACAGAATAAATCAAGGAGTTCCTCCAAGAGAATAAATCCAATCTGGTAACAAGCAGTTATTTTTAAAGAAAAAGATACCAGATTGATATTGATGTTGGGTGATACTCAAGGTTTCAATATCCATACAGGAAAAGCAGGGCTGCAAATTTGCCCTGACAAGTGGGGATCAACGTCAAGAGGCTACAGCTTACATACAGCAGTTCAAACAGAAAACTGCGTAAACAAAGTTTGCCTACAGTTACACTTATCATACTAATTCTTTATGATTTATATGTCAGTATTAAAACACAAATTAATATTATTAACAGGAATAACATCACATATATTCAGTAGGGAGATTCAGTTTAGTTGCCTATTACAAAGGCATTTTTTCCTTTCCATTGTGTCACTAAAATTCTTAGTTTGATCTGTACGTTGCTATATACACTTTACACCAATTACAATAATTATTGATGATGATGAAGACAAAAAAGAAAGGACTATTAATACCTTTTGTGGTGTAAGTCAACAAACATCCATAGCACACTACAGAAGAGGTTTGTGCTACTTTCTTTTTGTTGTTGAAGTCTGTAACTAAAAAAAATCTATTCTGGGTTTAACTAGAACCATTAATTAACACAAACAAGTAAAACATTTTTCCTAATAACTCTGTTGTCAGATTTACTAGGACACTGCTGGCTCTTTGTGTGTTGCGACTCTGGGTTGAGGTGCTAGTGAGCAGTGAGGGGTGAAAGGGGAGGGGTGAGAACCTCCTGCTGTTAAAACAATTCACACTTCTTAAAAAAGACAGCCTGGCTCAGATAAAACAGACAGCACAGCTGCAGCTTTCTTTGTGTCCAACAATTCTGCCACAATAAAAATGCCATTTAAACAGCATAAAAACACTTGTATAAATGTTGATGTTGCTTGCTCATCTACAAAGAAAATGCAGTTTGTTTTTGTAATCAAAACCAATAAATTTCAGGCAAAAAAAAAAAAACATCGAAGTTACGCAAGAAAAAAAATCCACAGCTCAACTGGAGGACCTCCAAAACAGGCAGATGTAGAATTTTATGGCTACTGTGTCTATGGGGTAAAGGAAAACCAGGAGGAAAAATCAAACAGTCTATGAAACAATATCAATAAAATACAAATATGGCATAATGGGCTAACATCCAATCAGCTACTCGTTACTATGTAGTTATTCTGTAGTAGTAGTTGGTCTAAGTATAACTAACTATAATTGGTCTAAGTGTATCTTTTTCATGATACAAGCAGTTGTTTGGTGTTCTAGAAGACTTTTCTGGCATTATAAACTTGGAAAAAAATTACTTAGTAAAGGCATTCTGATAAACAGCATGCTAATTTGAATGGTCAAGAAGTCATAGTTTTTTGTCAAATTTGTATCAATAAATCAGTTTTTGTTTAAATTTAGTATTGCTCTTACCAAAACAGGCATATTAATTTTTTTCAGATAACACTGAGAATTACACTGAAGCTGTAATGTTACAGGGTGGACTATGACATGCAAAACCTTCTGCCACACCCCGTTTGCGACAGTAAATTACATTTTCTATGAATATTGGAAAAATCTCCTAAACATTTTTTTTCTACTCAGTTTGGCTGGACAAGTTAGGCTTCATGGACCTTGTCAAGGATAATAAAAAACAACAAATTATCAATGTTGAATAAAAAGGAACTTCATCAGCCTTTGAAAAGATGTCCCTTACTCTTCATTGTGTAAATTTATAACAGTGCATTATTAGT